TATACTTATTACCTATCGCTAACCACGTTCGAAGCAAAGTATTATCAAGTACTAAGTATGTGAAATTACGATAGAAATCATTCCATATCGCAGTCATAGTTTTTAAGTGATAATCCAATGGAATCTATCAATCATCACATAGAATGAATAAATCTGCTGACATTGCTATGTTATAAGATGGATCCAATAAACGGTACATGTCAATTTGTTTCAGTGTACTGCCACCTGATCGAGAGCTTCTTGCGGCAGCGAAATATCGGTTTTCCAGACCGCCGCAGGCTAACTATCGACCCACGATGCAATTCCAACGAAGGGAAATCTTAAACCCCTACCCGGCGTGCGATGTATACCCACGTACCGTTCCAGCGCACTTGCATAACGGGATGGCTGCAACTGCATCACGGAAGGCTTGTGTATGCAGGAATTCGTGTTTTATACGAAATTGACAATGATCCGGCAGACCCCGACATTATCCAGGACTTGACGACTTCTCTACATCAAGGAGAGGCACTCGTTTTTTCTACAAAACTGACACACTCCATAGAGGAGGAAAATAACGAAGATCACGACACTTTGCAGAACGAAACAAATTCGGAACATGGATCAGGGGTAAATAATTTTGATAATAGTTTTATGAATGACAGGTTACCATCAACTTCTTCACCTAATCTTCAGACCAGTACAGAAATTTGAGTATATTGCCAAAATGTTAACCGCATGAGAAGCGCCGGTAAAATGAATGAAATTAACAAAAATATATTAAGTTCTACTTACTCTGTCATAATGGCTAATGAAACAAGTTGGGATGATAGTGTGAGAAGTAAAGAAGTTTTTGGTAACAATTATAACGTTTATAGAGACGACCGCAATTTTCAATGGTCTGGAAAAAAAATCGGGAGGTGGAGTATTAATAGCGATTTCAACCCAATTGAATTCAGAAATTATTATGGCTACTAAATTTAAAGAATTCGAACATGTATGGGTAAAAGCGCAAGTAGCAGAGGAAACACATGTCTTTGCTTCGGTATACTTTCCTCCAAACAATGCTCATAAGGACACGTATGATAAGTTTTTTGGAAAAGCGGAAGAAATTTTGTCTAGTTTACCCCCCCTAGTTTCATATATATGGGGACTTTAACCAACGCAATGTTGACTTTATTTCTGATATGGACAATGAAAGCATCTTACTTCCAGTCGTTGGGGAAAATGAAACACTCCATTTCATTTTTGACAAAATTGCAAATTTAGGACTCAATCAAATTAACCATGTGAAAAATCAACTAAATTGTTATTTAGACCTTTTATTAATTATTTATTATACTTATGAAGATTTCTGTGTGACTGAATCGTTAAGTCCCATATGGAGAAATGAAATGTTTCACACAGCAATAGAATATTCTCTATTCGTTCACATAAATGAAAGAACCAACGACTGCGAATTTGATGAAATCTTTGATTACAATTCAGCAAATTATGATAACATTAGAAATAGATTGAACATTGTCGATTGGCAAGCAATATTAAGAACTGCAGGAAATGTTGAATGTGCAGTTGACGTATTCTACAATGTGTTGCTTGAAATAATACTTGAAGAAGTGCCAACTAAAAGAAGAAGACGTCAGAGTCATGCAAAACATCCAGTTTGGTACAACAGGGAACTGAAAAATTTAAAAAATCGAAAGCAAAAAGCGCACAAATTTTATAAAAAATATAATAGTGAAGAAACTTTGGCATACTATTTAGACATTTGCGATCAGTTAAATTTGGCCGTGAATATGGCATTTGAGGAGTATAATTTAAAAACTGAACTTGAAATAAAATCTTGTCCTAGAAACTTCTTCAATTATGTGAAAACCAAATTAAAATCTGATAATTTTCCCTCAAAGATGCATTTGGACGATAGGATAGATGAGAACTCGGATGATATATGCAATTTGTTTGCAAATTTCTTCCAAGAAATATATACTACGTTTTCAGAAGAGGACCGTGATCGTGAATATTTTTAATCATATCCAGAATTTTCAAGTGACATCAGCGTAAGTCAAATCAAGGTTCATGATATCTTAAAGGGTTTAAACAATTTAGATGCATCTAAAGGTCCTGGCCCTGACGGTGTTCCGCCAGTTTTTATGAAAACTTTAGCAATTGAACTTACTGCTCCATTATTTTGGATTTTCAATATGTCACTGGAATCCGGAAACTTCCCTAAAATATGGAAAAACTCGTTTTTAGTGCCTATCTTTAAATCGGGTAAAAAATCCGACATACGTAATTATCGTGGTATAGCTATTATCTCTTGCATTCCGAAACTTTTCGAGGCGATTGTAAATGAAAAACTCTTTCTTCAAATTAAAAACAGAATAACTACTATGCAGCATGGCTTCTTTAAAGGCCGTTCAACAACTACGAATTTGCTCGAATTAATTAATTATTCCTTGAATGCAATGGATAACGGAAACCATGTAGAAGTCTTTGATCGAATTGACATACCCATGCTTCTTTTCAAACTTCAAAAAATGGGAATTCATTACGCACTCCTCAAGTGGCTTGAATCATATTTAACTGACCGTCATCAAATAGTAAAATACAAAGGAAAGATATCAAATCCCGTTGACGTCACTTCAGGAGTTCCTCAAGGCTCCCATTTAGGACCACTTTTATTTATTCTCTTCGTCAATGAAAATTGAAAGTTTTAATATATGCTGACGACATTAAACTTTTTTTTTAAATAAAAGATGCCAAAGACATCATCACATTCAAAGAGGAAATTCAAATATTCCATACTTGGTGTCAAAAAAGCCTGCTACAATTAAATATAAAAAAAATGTAACTCCATTACCATTAGTAGAAAACAAAATCTACCCGATATAACAGTCACTTTAGGAAACCAGATCGTAGAAAAGTGTGATAGAGTCAGGGATCTAGGTGTTATTTTGGACTCAAAACTTACTTTCACCGATCATTATAACACAATTATTAACAGAGCTAACAACATGCTTGGTTTCATAAAACGTTTCTGCTATAACTTTCACGATCCGTATACGATTAAAACATTGTACATTGCTTACGTAAGATCGATATTAGAATATTGCAGCATAGTTTGGTCACCTTTTTCAATCACACACGAAGAAAGAATAGAGTCCGTTCAAAAGCAGTTTCTATTGTATGCACTCCGCAAGTTAGGTTGGACTGTATTTCCTCTGCCATCTTACACAGCTCGGTGTATGCTCATAAATATCCAAACATTAAAAGAGCGTCGTGAATTTGCTATGATTTCTTTCGTAAACGATATCGTATCACATCGCATTGATTCTATAGAACTATTGTCATCCTTAAATTTATATACACCATCTAGGCATTTACGAAATAGAAATATATTTGCTACAAATCGTCATCGTACGAATTATGCCAAATTTGGACCCTTGAACCAAATGATGGATACATATAATAAGCACTGCGATAACATTGACTTTACAATGACAAAAACCAAATTAAAGCAATATTTTAATTCGTCGCATAACGTCAACTAGAAGTAATGTTTTAACTTGTTCTTAAGACATATTATAAAAAATATAAACAAAGACAAAATTGTAAAAATAGCACTTAAGACAACATACACTGATTGACGACAAATAAATAAATAAATATCAGCATTGTAAATGTATCAAATATTCATATAGAATTTACCTGACACATTTTTAATCATAGCATTTCCAATGGATTATCTTATAGCGCAAATTTATTAGAATTCCACATAACAGGAATATGTTAAATTGGTTCAGTGTACACTGTTGTATACTACAACCGAGGGGCTGTCAACTAGAGTATTTTCGAATCATCTACCCGACTTGAAAAGGTGTATTTTGTATTGCTGATTGCATCTGAAACTGGACTGTCCCCAAAATGCAAAAAGTGTTATAGAAGTGCACATTTCCGTCAAATCGTTTTGATGTCTCGGGAGCACTTATTGTTTGCATCATAAGGAATAAGTGCACTGAAGACACCAAAACGATTAGATGTAAACTTGCAATTTTATCACACTTTTTAATAAGTGAAAACGCGCTTATTAGTCCAATTTGGTGTGAAATGCGCAATATTTTTTCGTATTTATTCGTATTCGTATTTTAAGTTTTGTGTATTTTTGTATTAAAGTGTATTAAATTCATTATGAAATGTATTTTTCAAGTATTTTCGAGGTATTTTTGAGTATTTTTATTCGGGTATTTTAGTTTCAGCGTGTACGCATTTATGTATTTTTTTGTGTATTTTCCGAAGTGTGTATTTACAATTCAGCTGATTTATGAACTAGATCGCCCTTACAACACCACTCAGTATGAAAGCGGATTGAAAAAAAAAACCTCAATAGGGGCAAAAAACTGTACTGAACAAGCAACACTGAACCGAATTTTGTTCATAATCAAAATTTAAAGCAAGATCGATTTGAAGTGTAAATCAAATTCCGTAATTACAACAGGTGGGTCGGTTTGTTTGACAGCGTTCGGTAATTCTTGAGTAAACCGATGTTCGGTTATTTCTGCTTAAATTTGTTTTTCGTCAACCGAGATTTTCGGTAACTTTAACAGATTGTGGGTAACAAAAAGAACTAACGACAGCTCGGTTATTCCTCTTTGAACCGAACAGACTACCGAGCGTTCAGCAGATAAAAACTCGGTTGAAATCCAACCGAGTTCGGTAATATTTTCTAAGTGTGTATGGATGATTGTCATTTGATTTGTTCATATTCCAACAGATGATAAATCGAATGACGGTGCTCTCAAAATCATCTGATAATAGTTACAGGGCATGAGTGAGGCAATAATCATTCGATGCCAGGATGATGTTTTGGTACAGTGTGAGCGACACCGATTTTATTCAGTTTACAGAATTTCCTACCTTATATTGATCTTTTTTTTTAAATCCCGCCTTTATGAACTGAACGCACGGCGCACGGAGGGAGATCTGAGTGATTGTCAAACAAAGTGTCACCAACGCGAACCGATCTTCCTTCTTTTCTCCGCAGAACGTCGAATCGTGCGGCACGCATTCGTTGCCCTTTGTGAAAAAGTGCAGTTATTGCTGTTAAACTTTTGATTAATCATGACTGAAACGCTGCAACTCCGCGGCCAGCTCGTTGGCCATTCCGGATGGGTCACTCAGATCGCCACCAATCCGAAGTACCCGGACATGATCCTGTCTTCATCTCGCGGTAAGTATCTGTCGCACGGGATGCCAAAATGGCGAAGTCCATGTGTTTCATACTTCATGGTTTTGTGCTATTAAATTTGTCCACCAAAAAAGATATTATTAATACTTTTTGGTTATGGATTTTTGAAGCAACTGAAATAAAATTTGTTCGTATTAAAGTATTCGAGATTAACATCTTAAAAATACCACGTTTATCAACCGTCCCTAACCTTACTTTTCTTCTCTTTCAGACAAGACCCTGATCGTTTGGAAGTTGACCCGCGACGATGCCAGTTACGGTATTCCGCAAAAGCGTCTGTACGGTCACTCGCACTTCATTAGCGACGTTGTTCTGTCGTCCGACGGTAACTACGCTCTATCCGGCTCGTGGGACAAGACCCTGCGCCTGTGGGATTTGGCCGCCGGAAAGTCCACTCGTCGTTTTGAAGACCATACCAAGGTGTGAAATTTGTGTTGCCCTTCTGGATCCGGATGTTTAGAAATCCGGTTTTGAGAACAATAGGAGGACAGGCGAATGATTTCTCAAAATCGTTGAAAACGGTTTTGTGATTTCAATCCTTGGAAATGAACGAAGATCCGGTAGGTTATCGGATTCTTCGTTGGCAGGGAAATTTAGCTTACTTTTACGCGCCTATGCGAGGCAGAAGAAACACAAGAATTCTCAAAGAATTACGGGCCTATGCGAGGCAGAAGATAGTTATCCATCAAGTATTGAGGATGTGTATGAGGTGGCTAAATATCTATCGATCGAATGAATAGGTATTGTGTTTCTAAATAGTGTGACAAAAAACCAAGCAGAATCAATATAATAAATTGTGGCACAATCCCAGCTCCATGTCAGACCAACAAATCAATGTTCGATATGGTGTTCATTTTAGAGCGTGCTAAAGCAAACTCTTGATCGTCGTCTTTTGCTGAGCAACTTTTGGTTGTTTGGTGTCCGATGGTTGAGATACAAAATAACCCTTCATATCTATTGATTCTGGTTCGTTCTGGTTCAAGAAAAATAGTTATTCATTTGGATGTATTGGGTGAAATGTCTAACCAAGAAAGTATTTTTTTTTTTTTTTTTTTTAACAGGATGTCCTGTCGGTTGCTTTCTCCGTGGACAACCGTCAGATCGTGTCCGGATCTCGTGACAAGACCATCAAGTTGTGGAACACTTTGGCCGAATGCAAGTACACCATCCAAGAGGATGGACATAGTGATTGGGTCTCGTGTGTCCGCTTCTCACCGAACCACTCGAACCCGATCATTGTCTCGGCTGGTTGGGATCGCACCGTCAAGGTCTGGAATTTGGCCAACTGCAAGCTGAAGATTGACCACCTGGGCCATAATGGCTACTTGAACTCGGTTTCCGTTTCTCCTGATGGTTCCCTGTGCACATCCGGAGGTAAGGATTGCAAGGCCTTCCTGTGGGACTTGAATGATGGCAAGCATCTGCACACACTGGAACATAACGAGGTCATCAATGCCCTCTGCTTCTCACCAAACCGTTACTGGTTGTGCGTTGCTTATGGTCCATCCATCAAGATTTGGGATCTGGCATGCAAGACCATGGTCGAAGAGCTGAAGCCATCGAAGGCCGATCCACCACAGTGCTTGTCGCTGGCTTGGTCTACCGATGGACAGACGCTGTACGCCGGTTACTCTGATAACATCATCCGTGTCTGGCAGGTATCAGTCTCGGCTCGTTAAATATGAAGCGGATCCGAAGGAAGTCTTTTACCATATAAGAATTAATTCCATAAACTTTGGTAGATTAATAAATCTACTAGAAACTCTATTCTGTTGATGTTATAACTTTTATCCGAAATTAAAGAAATTTAATCTAATTCCGTCCTACTAAGCCATTCATTTTGGCTATAAAAATGTTTTATTAAATAATAACTATTCTGTATTTCGTTTCGAAAGAAATTCTCATACAAAAAAATATTTTTTTTGTATGAGAATTTCGTTCGAAACTAATAACCCATTTTTGGCCTATCGAGAAGAAAACTTCTAATAAATCCATGATTTCAGAATTAACGCTGTCCAGACTGGAGAGTTATAACGGTTGTCAACTAATTGCAACACAGAAAACACCATCGAGATTGGCAAATCAAAGTTGGCACTCGTGGAGAATAGAAGAACTATAAAAGTGATGATGGTTTCAAAATTTTCCACGGGGAAGTATACGAGTGCAATCTTAAAATGCTTTTATTTTGCAAATGGAGCATTTTATTTAAATCTGGTTGCTGATACAGTTGTAGAAAAGCTGAAATCTATGTGTACACCTAAAAATCTGAAAAGAAATTAATGTTTCTGTATTATTTGTCTATTGAGTAGTCTTTAAGTTTTCTACTAACATAGCATCAACCAGATTTAAATAAAATGCTCCATTTGTAAAATAAAAGCATTTCAAGATTGCACTCGTATACCTCACCGTGTAAAATATTGAAACCATCATCACTCTCATAGTTCTTCTATTCTCCACGAGTACCAACTTTGATTTGCCAATAGCGCTATAACATGTTATAACTTGGTAGTCTGAACTAGAGTCGGTGTATAATGAGTCACACCAAGAGAAAAACAGTTGAACTCGCATCACGGTTTTCGAAAGATTCCCTTTCTTTTCACTTGGCAACAGAGGACTGCTACATCAACTAAATGACTCCTAGCGAGCAAAAAAAAATAGCGGCTGTTGTAAATCATTTTATCAGTGATTTTGTCCAATCATCTTAACAAAAAATAGTAGAAATTCTCATTACTGATCGTTACCAAACGTATCCCATGACAATTTAATGCTCACTGCGTGTTTATGATCATTTCTTCGATTATATTTTATATTTTATTGCGATACCTTTCGTGGACCTTTCATAGCATCGTAATGTTTGTTTACTTTGCACGATAGGTAGCCAGTTTGACAGTCCAATTGACGAGTGCACGGATGGATTTGAGTTCACTCACTCGACAAAAAGTGACACAACAGCGGGGCCCTGTTTACTAAAAATGAACACATGAATAATACTCACGTAACATTTGAAACGGGTCTATCAACTTATGTACACAAAACTTGTTAAGCTTTTTTCGCGCGAACCGAATACGCCCACGCTAACTAACAAGACCATTGGGTAGAGGAAATGCTCCCCTTCCCGATAGTGCTCTTGGTTTGCGTGGGCGTACTTCGGTTCTCGTGAAAAGGACCTAGCAAATTATTTACAAAAGTTGATAGGCCCTTTTCAAATGTTACGCGAGCATTATTCATGTGTTCATTTTTAGTAAACAGGGCCCCGCTGTTGTGTCACTTTTTGTCGAGTGAGTGAACTCAAATCCATCCGTGCACTCGTCAATAGGTAGACTTGGCGTGAATCATTATACACGCTTATTCTGGTCAACTCAAAATTGAGTCGAATGTACTCATCTCAGCGGCAAGTATGGCTACTCAAAATGGATCATTGAAGATGCTGAGGTTTTGACAGCACCGTACTGTGGCTACCACAGTATTTTACATTGGTTCGTCCGTATAAAGTAGCGCCAAATGAAAGCTGTGGTGGGTTCAAAACTCAGCCATCTAAAATGATCCATTGAGTAGCCTTATGTTGACTCACTTTTGAGTAAACTACGTTCTCACGTAGACTGAGTCAAATCCACTCGCCGGTATTTTCAGTTGCAGGGAGAGTTTTTGTTTTGATTTTTATTCAAGGAAATGGAAATTGCCTGCTCCGGATTCATTCTACCGGATTTCCCTAAGCAATTCGTACTTACCTGAAGGCATTTCAGCCGGTTTTGAGCTACATTTTCTATGAGGTTTCCTCCGACATGACTGGCATTTTTTCCAAGTCTAGGATTTTGCTGACTGAGTGGCTTTTACTCAGTTTGACATTTCTCGTTTACTCAATTTTTGACAACTCGATACATCGGACGAAAGTGAGTACGATCGACTCACCTGGTGAGTAAGCAGAAGTTAGCGTGTACACCGACTCTAGTCTGAACCATGGTGGGTAATGAATGGTGATACAGTTTTGTCACTATATAGGCGAGGAGGTCGCGGGGGGGAAAAGTTTTTTTTTTTTTTTTTCTTTATTAAGGCTGTGAACCATTTGCCGAGTTAAATTTAACTCGTGGTTAAAAGTGACATTTCGAAAGTTATTTTCTATGTTCGAAAATCCCAATGCTGTCGATCGACCGGTTTTCGAGCCACGGTTGTCAAAATTTAACTTCTAGTCTGTCAGAAATAATCATGCTCGGATAGCAGGGTTAATCGATAACTTTTCATCTGTCAAATTTTAACCAAAAGTTAAAATAATCCACCAAATGGTTCAGAGCCTAAAGAGATTTTTAGCCATAGGCTAGTTCATCTCTACAGGGGGGGAAAAGTGCGGTTTTAGAGCAAATTGTAAACAAACTCGGTCGCTGTCCCATACAAAAATCCGACATGGCTGAATCATGAATTTGACACATTAGAACACCTATATGTAGTCACCTTGGTCTGAACGTACTATAACCACAGACAAACAGACATAACACTCACAAATTGTTCATCGCACAAGCATTTAACGGTCAATTTAAAAGTATCTCAGTTGGTAGTACTGCCACCTGTGGCGCGCATAGTCAATTCCCTTGCGTTTGACGTATACACACTACCGCCATCTGTTCAGCGTACTAACCACCCACCTACCACTGCAGTGTGTTCAACAGATGGCGGTAATGTTTTAGCGACGATGTTTTACAATGAGAAATATTCAATGTGTTATGTCTGTTTGTCTGTGCTATAACCATAGAGGTAACTCTAATAGTATCACAGAAATTCAAAACAACCCAAAATTAAGTTCTTTTCACTCATCTCCCATGTTCCGTACAATAAGCCAAATTTGGGTAAACCGGCTCAAAGTAGTTTGATGTTGTTGGTTTGCGTGGGCGTACTTTGATTCGCGTGCAAAAGGCCTTAGAAAGTTTGTTTACAAGTGCTTTTGTGCCGTTATCAAATGTTATGCCTGAATTGCTTGCTCAGAAAGGTAAACATCGAAAACAAGAGTTGTGACTTTTTCCTATCAACCTGCATCATATATGAGAACAACCGTGGCACAGTGAGATCGAACCTCGGATCGAACGAAGACTCTGGCAGCAGCACACCCCAACAGTTCATGATCGAATCCAAAATCAGACCTATTAAAAAGATATGACGTGAAAGCTCTGGCCTCTGGCAGTTTTGTTTATATATTTGTCGATTCTTTTTTAGAGTCGGTAAAGTAGAAGTCGATAAAGTAGAATATTGTAGAATATTGAACTATGGTGTGCAAAGCTATTGATATCACCATATGAGGCACATAGAATCCAAGTGTGTCACAACTCAAATCCATAGTGTTCAGGCATGGTTCCCCGAATAGAAATTTACATTAGCCCAACGTTTGATTTTGATGTCTACATCAGCATCAAAATCAAATGTATGCCTGATGTCAAACATTAGGAAACATTATGATTTAGTTGTATTTAAGCAACGTAACATGGTGTATACATCAGAAATTTTGGAACAAAATTTTGCCATTCTAATGTCGGTCTGACGTCAAAAATTTCAATCTATTGACATTAGAACCAAACGTTTTAAGGATGTTTTCAGATGTACAAAACGTTAGAACTAAACGTTGTTCGGATGTTTTTAAATGTAAACGTTTTCTGATGTTTTCTAATGTAGATGTTTCCTGATGTTAGAAACAAACGTTTTTGGATGTTTTCAGATGTAAAAAACGTTAGAACTAAACGTTTTTCGGATGTTTTTATATGTAAATGTTTTCTGATGTTTTCTAATGTAGAGGTTTCCTGATGTTAGAATCAAACGTTTTTTGGTTGTTTTCGGATGTAAAAAACGTTAGAACTAAACGTTGTTCGGATGTTTTTATATGTAAATGTATTCTGATGTTTTCTAACGTAGATGCCTCCCGATGCTGGAACCAAACTTTTTTGGATGTTTTCAGATGTACACAACGTTAGAACTAAACGTTGTTCGGATGTTTTCATTTGTTCTTCGTGTTTGTTGTTCTCTGATGTTTTCAGATGTACAAAACGTTTAAAGTAAACGTTGTTTGAGTGTTTTCAAATGTAGATGTTTACTAATGTTTTTAGATATACAAAACACTAGAATCTTACTTTTCAAATGCTTTCAATTATATTTACAACACATTAGAATTAGAAACATGATCGTGTAAACACTACACACGCTTGTTGTTAGATTACATCATAAAAATGCGTACATAACAGTCAATGCTGAAGCTCCCGTTTCCCACCAGTCAGTTAACTGACCTTAGCTAACCTAATATCATTGCGGCAACTCTCTATGCGGCAGGGGAACTATGCCATTAGCGCACTAAGAGTTGTTAGACCACTGACATAGGCGCCAATTTGTAGGTGACGAGGCACTTGGTGACATTACAGCGAGCTTGACGATTGTAGCAGCATCTTTTTTAGTAAACTACCAGTTAAGGTGTGTAGTGTTTACAAGATCATGTTTCTAGCTCTAATGCTTTGTACAATTGAAAGCATTGGAAAAGTTAATTCTCATGTTTTGCAACCGAAACCATCAGAAAACATAAAATTGTACAAAAAAAGTCATCCATTCTGGTAGACTATCTCTTAAATGCATAAAGAATAGCCATTGCTTAAGCTCCCGTTTCCCACCAGTCAGTTAACTGACCTTAGCTAACCTAATATCATTGTGGCAACTCTCTATGCGGCAGGGGAACTATGCCATTAGCGCGCTAAGAGTTGTTAGACCACTGACATAGACGCCTATTCGTGGGTGACGA